ACGTTGCAGTCAGATGATCTGTAGGTTCTTTATGTCTTGGGCGCTTTGTTGGTCAAGAACTGCAATTGTAGGATGTCAGGTGTATAATATTTAGAGATAACGTTAGAGAATCACCTGCACACCATACAGCGCCTGAACCAAAAGAAATGTTCGTTGGTGCTCGATTGTGACGACACGGATGGCGCCGTGCTACAGTCCAAATGAAGATAGAAGTCACCAGCACTCACTTGTAATGTGCAAAAAGCATGGCACTTTTATTGATGCGTCACATGGGTCAAGAAGCCAACGTTTCTGGTCCGTGCAGTGTCTATTGATGCATCACATGGTTCAAGAAGCCAACGTTTCGGGTCCGTGCAGTGTCTATTGATGCATCACATGGGTCAAGAAACCAACGTTTCGGGTCCGTGCAGGGTCTATTGATGCATCACATGGTTGAAGAAGCGAACGTTTCGGGTCCGTGCAGGGTCTATTGATGCATAACATGGGTCAAGAAGCCAACGTTTTGGTTCTGTGCAGAGTCTATTGATGCATCACATGGTTCAAGAAGCCAAGGGTTCGGGTCCGTGTGGGGTCTATTGATGCATCACATGGGTCAAGAAGCCAATGTTTCGGGTTCGTGCAGTGTCTATTGATCCATCACATGGTTCAAGAAGCCAAGGGTTCGGGTCCGTGTGGGGTCTATTGATGCATCACATGGGTCAAGAAGCCAATGTTTCGGGTTCGTGCAGTGTCTATTGATCCATCACATGGTTCAAGAAGCCAAGGGTTCGGGTCCGTGTGGGGTCTATTGATGCATCACATGGGTCAAGAAGCCAATGTTTCGGGTTCGTGCAGTGTCTATTGATCCATCACATGGTTCAAGAAGCCAAGGGTTCGGGTCCGTGTGGGGTCTATTGATGCATCACATGGGTCAAGAAGCCAATGTTTCGGGTTCGTGCAGTGTCTATTGATCCATCACATGGTTCAAGAAGCCAAGGGTTCGGGTCCGTGTGGGGTCTATTGATGCATCACATGGGTCAAGAAGCCAATGTTTCGGGTTCGTGCAGTGTCTATTGATCCATCACATGGTTCAAGAAGCCAACGTTTCGGGTCCGTGCAGTGTCTATTGATTCATCACATGGGTCAAGAAGCCAACGTTTCGGGTCCGTGTAGTGTCTATTGATGCATCACATGGGTCAAGAAGCCAACGTTTCGGGTCCGTGCAGGGTCTATTGATGCATCACATGGGTCAAGAAGCCAACGTTTCGGTTCTGTGCAGAGTCTATTGATGCATCACATGGTTCAAGAAGCCAACATTTCGGGTCCGTGTGGGGTCTATTGATGCATCACATGGGTCAAGAAGCCAACGTTTCGGGTCCGTGTGGGGTCTATTGATGCATCACATGGGTCAAGAAGCCAAAGTTTCGGGGGCCGTGCAGGGTCCCTTCATCAGGGCGACATCATGACTGTGGCTTCGTGATGCATCAATAAAAGTAATATTTAGAGATGTCATCTACTGTATGTCGCTGATGAATCTGTGATTGCATAGTATAGCAGGCGAGTCTGTGGATGTTTAGTATTATCATTTATCTTCATATTATGACTTGGTGGCCGTATTATACTGGTATTCATGTAACATGTGTGCTCTAGTAATGAACCTATCTCTTGTGTTTTCATGTAGTTGGCATTCCCCTCCTGATCCGGGGTGAACCAGTATTGTCACCACGTGGCAGAAGGCCCATATCGGCCTCGAACAGAAACCTGGACAATTTTCCTCCAGGGAAACCAACCAGAGCCAACATTGCCAATATCTGCAGGAAAACGCGCACCATAGTGACATACGGTCCTGAGAACCTCCCTCAGACGGGGTTCTCCCACCTCAGCAGACAAGGCAACGCCATTAACAGCGTGGAGGAGGGATACGCCAGGTGCTGCAGTCAATCTGAGAAACTGCGCTGCGCACTGGAAGTGGTAAGTTTCCCTTATGCTCATCCACTCATATGTGGTAAATAGGCAGCCATGACCTTTTTGTTTTTTGTTTAATTTTTTGTTATAGCACACATGCGTCAGCAGCAAAAAAGTTACATGAGTCAACTCCTGTAGACCAGTTCTGTTATGCTCTGACAATTATACCGCATATAAATTGAATCGTAAGTCACTGCACACTGTCCAGGTAGTATCTGCCGGGGTGCACTGGAGCAAAATAACATCAGTAGCCAAACAGAAAGCAGTAGAGGCACCCACAGGGTTTGAGCAGGAGTGTACACTCACTGGCCACTTCAATTAGGTACACCTTGCTAGTACCGGGTTGGACCCCCTTTTGCCTTCAGGACTGCTTTAATTCTTTGTGGCATTGATTCCACAAGGTGAGTTTGGTCCAACTGTTTGGTCCAACTGTCCATACACAGTTGCTGCTGATTTGTCAGCTGCACATCCATGATGCGAAGCTCCACCAGCCAGAACCAGTGATACAAGGCAGGATGGATCCATGCCTTCATGTTGTCTACATCAAATTCTGACCCGAACATCCGAATGTCGCAACAGAAATAGAGACTAATTAGACCGGGCAGCGTTTTTCCAATCTTCTATTTTACAATTTTGGTGAGGCCATGCAAACTGTAGCCTCAGTTTCCTGTTCTTAGCTGACAGAAGTTGCGCTCGGTGTGAGCTGCAGCCCATCTGCTTCAAGGTTCAATGTGTGTCAGAGATGCTCTTCTCCATACCTCGTATGTAGCAAGTGGTTATTTGAGTTACTGTTGCCTGTCTTATCAGCTTGATCCAGTCTGCCCATTCTCCTCTGACCTCTGGCATCAACAAGGTATTCTTCCCAGAGAGCTGCCGCTTACTGGATATTTTCTCTTTTTCGGACCATTCTCTGTAAACCCGAGAGATGGTTGTGTATGAAAATCCCAATAGATCAGCAGTTGCTGAAATACTCAAACCAGCCCGTCTGGCACCAACAACCATGCCATGCTCAAAGTCCCTTAAATCACCTTTCTTCCCCATTCTGATGCCCAGTTTGAACTTCAGCAGACCACATTGACCATGTCTACGTGCCAAAATGTATAGAGTTACTGCCATGTGATTGGCTGATTAGATATTTGTGTTAATGAGCAGTTGAAGAGGTGTTACCACAAGGTCGGAGGCTCAACATTTTTTAAAATGTCTTTGTACGCTGTAGCACTCAGGAACAGAAAAACCTGAACTCAACCATACTTTTATATAGTTGCAGGTGTGATGGTCAGATGTCCACAAACTTGCTGCCACATATTATACGTAAAATAAAGACGTATACCAAAAAATAAACATCAGTTTATAAACTCTCAAAAAAGAATGCACAGTAAAACTGACCAAAAATGGTTAGCGTTTCCCTAAGTTGCAGTAATGTAAACTTCTCTATTCTAGTGGAAGAATGGCATGGACGATTTCTGCACGGAGGAGTTTTCAGTAAAGACCAGTCACTATCACTGCTGCAAGAAGAGAGGTGCAGAGAGGGAGCCCTGCTTCAGCGCTGAGGCCCCAAACCCCAACTACATCAGCTCTGCCCCCCTGCTGGAGGTCGGCGGTGCAGACAGCCCATCCTTGCCCAGGCCGCGAAGCCTGAAGTCTTGTTCATCTCACTCACCTAATTGCCTTGATAACCCAGAGGGCAAGTACAAGCTTTCCGACTTGGCCTTCCCACCAGGCGAGCCCAAAACCAGCAACATCCAGAACATTTGCAAACTGAGGAAATACCGCCCGCTGTACACTGAAGATGTACTGCCCAACAGCGGGTTTGGCCACTACGTACGTCGGGCTAAAGCCATCTACTGGGCAGAGAGTGAATTGAAAAAGTGCTGCAAGACTGAAGATGTGGCCTGTGCACATCGCGGGGTCAGTGACACAATCACATAAAATGCCTTTTGTTTTTAAATTGTAAGGTTTTTAGACGATACAAACACACACTTTGAGTTGTAAATAATATCTACTTTTAAGTATACAACCAAGTTAACAATACAAAATGTCTTGCCTCAGGAACGGCAAAACATATTGATCTTATGATTTTGACTCGCTAGGCCCAAATAAACTATTGTCGGTGCGCCGAAAATTTAGTTTATTTGGTCCACTGTGTTTGTAAAGAGAGGTACAGTGGCAAAGGGCCCCTGTGTGGGACCAATGCTTTGACCTTTTCACCTTGTCCCCACACTGCCTTTAGCAAACAGGCCTCTGGTTTGGGAATTTTTAACAAATGAACATGAGGTACAATGTACACCCATCTCTTGTCTATAAGGGCTTCAGCCAAGAATAAGAAGCATTTTTTATATCTAGAAACATCAATAATTGGAGCTCTAGAGTTCCTATTGATGAGCTTTGTGATTCATATGTGAACTGCTTGCCATCTTTCAGTAGCTTGGATGCGGCTCTTGTTGACTTGCAGTGCTCTGTTTAGTGCCTGGGCCCATAACTTGTTGGTTCTGTGTTTAGATGAAGCACTACCATCTTGCGGAATGCTAAATTAAGTTTTCTTGCTTAGACGTATGTACTGTATATGGCATTGTGAGGAAAAGCATTAAGGAAAAAAAACAACTTCCCGTGTATCATAGATAAGCACGCACATAGAGATTAACATTGCACTTCAGTGCCATCTACAGCTCAAAAGACATCTCAGTATATGCTGTTGCATTTCCAAAACCTATGAAGACTTTCACCCACCACATGACACTCACAAACTTGTCAGGAACAAGCAAGTGTCCTATGATTATAGCAAATATGGTAGCACTTTGTGCTGTGTGTTTTGATATAATTTTTACACGTCTTTTTTGTGTGTCATATAGTGGCAGAAGGCTGTGTCCAAGTTTTGCACCAAAGAGCTGGAAGTGAAGAGCAAGCATTATGAATGTTGTAAGAAGAAAGACCAAGCCAGTATGTTCCACTGTTTTGCCAGTGAGGCTCCCTTCCCAGAATATGACAAAGAGGTGGAGAACCTGAACCTCGGCAACATCACAGAGAGCATCTTGGAGAAGGTTTGCGCAGAGTCCAAGCTCCTCACCAAACAGTACGTAATGTTCGGTACATAGCTCACCAAACCACCATAATGATCGATGTTCTTAGAGGAACAGTCCTAGTTCTCAAGACTTGTCCTTGGTAGTTGTCTTCTAGAAAAATGTTCGCGATTTGTGAACAATGAGCGACACTGCAATGTAGCTTTTTCCCCCCAAAATTGTTACACTTAATTCTGACTATTCATATTTTGTTGGCTTTTTATCCCTTCTTAAAGGATCCTTTTACCCAAAACTGATATTCCAGTGTTTGGTAGATGCTGGAGAGTTAAAACCAGCAGTTTCATATACAGTATATATATATATATATAATGTGAGATCTCTGAGAGCAGTTCCTGGGTCTGCTCTTAATGGGAACACCTCAAACTCCCAGGAGGGCAGTAACAAAGTCAGGGATTATAGCAGGGAGATCTCGCTAGAGTACCCAAGACATATAGAAAGCCAGAGGCTGACTCGGTGCACCAAGCTCTATCTAAAGTAAAAATATCACTTTTAGGTGAACTGACCCTTTAACCAGGGTTACTCTTCTGGCCAAAGTGGTTTACATCAGAAGGGATTTAAGGGTTTTTAAAATGTATTCTCTGGCTTCAAAGCAGTTGGGCCTGGTATAGCAGTCCATCCCATCTCTGGCTCCAAAGCAGTTAGGCCTGGTATAGCAGTCCATCTCATCTCTGGCTCCAAAGCAGTTGGGCATGGTATAGCAGTCCATCTCATCTCTGGCTCCAAAGCAGTTGGCATGGTATAGCAGTCCATCTCATCTCTGGCTCCAAAGCAGTTGGGCCTGGTATAGCAGTCCATCTCATCTCTGGCTCTTGTCAGTCAAAATACTGGGTTATACTGCCACCTTGTGGACTAAATGGCATACTACAGAATTCGGTCAATCACATTGCATTGGAGCTACTCAAAATCGAGATATATTTATAACTGTGTATAACCAAACTATCCACTTGGCACTTTATAATAAACTGTATACTGTGTATTCATTGCACAGTTTCAGTTACACGTCTCCTCTGCTTACTATATTAAACTGTTTACTACCCAGGGACTAGTATGCTTTCACCAACACAAACCATTTAAAGAGATTTTATATTTTTTCCTCTCTTCACACTTGCTGATGAGCTCTGATAGAATGATCAAATGTACTGATCACTCTGTGCTTTGGTGCTCATAGACATTAAATGGCAGCTGGCCAACAACATACAGAACACATATTCCAATGTAGGGGGTTGACAGCCCTGGCACTCCAGCTATTGTGGAACTACAGATGCCATGATTGATTGATTGCCACAGGTATGGCTGCCAGAGGCAGGTGCATTTTGGGAATTGTAGTTTCAACACTGCTGGACTATGGCTGGTTGAGGCTCATCAGGGAGCGTAAATTGACCGGTTGGATAACCATATCTGGTAATTTTTGTTTTTCTGGTGCTGTAAGTCCTCACAGTGCGCCAGCCCTCTCCACAACCTAAACACTACTCAATGAGGCTGTTCCTGTTTAGGAATTTAAATCTATAAGTTTGGAGTGTTTCTGTACCCTGCATCCTGGATTTTCCATAGGAATATATCAGAAATTTAAACCAGTGACAATATCTCAGCTAAACAATAAACCTTATGATGCCATGCCAAGTCCACTAAAGTCCACTTTACTTATAATATACCTCCGATTAGGTTGTAATAAAGAAACTTTCAGTAAACCATAGCCATGCAGTATTGATCATTCACAGGAGTAATTGCACCAATCTGACTGGATACTGTTTGTACTCTTCCTTCTTGTGTCATCCGTTGTCCTATTAAATAAGCCCAATTGTGCTTAACTGTGCTTGTTTTCCTTTATTCCAGGAAACAGTTGCCTCTTCTGGTATCTGGCCTTAAAGATTCCTGCTGCAGCCTTCCCCAGGACAAGAAACTGTTATGTGCACAAGAGCAGGTGAGAATACATGGAGGGAATGGATCACTGTTGAAATTATTATCAGCATGCCCTAAAGAGTTATAAGGTCTTTAATCAAATCTAATGAGAGTGTCAAACAGTCTGATAGTCCAAAAACCTTTAATATTGGTATTGGTTTCAGAAAGACTACCTAGAATATCCAACGCGTTCAGGGGCTAAAAGACCTCCTCCTTCCTCAGGGCTTAAATATAATAGGTAGAGATTTCCTGATACCGATACTAGTATCGGTGCCAATACCGGGCATTTTCACGAGTACTTGTGAAAAATGGCCCGATTCTGAAGGCCGATACCGGCCCTTTAAAATGTTTAATCCCCAGCGGCTGTCTTAGTTCCCGCGCTTGTGGGAACTTCAGGCAGCCTGCTGGGGACCTGACAGTAGCTGTCCTTGGCAGTGCCTATCTAGGTATATCTCCTCCTTCCCGGCGCAGGCACAGTCATGGACAACCCAATACCGCACGTACAGCCCCAGAGCCGGCACTCGCCTGTTCAACTCTCCACCCACCATTTCAGGCCGGCACCCGCCCGATCAGCATAGGCAGCTGCCTGCAGAGCCCCTTGAGAGATTCACATGCCGACCTGGTGAGATTGGCACGCAGCCTGGTGGGATCTGTATTCAGCTCTGGTGACACGTATTCAGCTCTGGTGACATTTGTATTTAGCCCTGGTGAGAAACTGCCCTAAAATTAGCCTGTATTGTTTAAGAAAAAATGTCACATGTCCCTTTAAGAAAAAGTATTGGTAATTGGTATCAGCAAGTACCTGAGGAAAAGTACTTGTACTTGGCCTTCAAAAAGTGGTATCAAGACATCCCTAATAGTAGGTGATCTTAGTGATGGAAAGCTGGGACAAACCACCAAGAGTGATTACCATTCTATACTACTGAGACAGCAGATGTTACCACCTCCCATTCTCTCGATAAAGCATTACTGGAGCTCAGCGCTGCTTCAGTGTCACAATTTCTTACAGAGAACTACAAAGAACTACATCTGAAATCTAACTCAACTTTGTGATGCAGGGCACCTGCCCGCCCTCGCATCACAAGATTTAAACAGTACAATTAATCCCAGTGACTACCTAACATCTGACTGTACAGTCCAATATCTAGACTAAAGCTTCTTGGTCCCTCATAGTGTTAGGACAATGTCCTTTAGCACCTAGGGTGGAAAGGCCAAAGCGTGCCGCCCCCCCACCCCAACGTGAGCAGCAAACTAGTACAGGTCCTGTGCTCGCCCCTTTGCTAAAGCACCCAAGGTAGCCCCTCTTCTGTCCACCCCTCGGCACTGCCCACACCTGTATTCCTCCTATTAATGTACTAAAAAACATTATAGTATAAAAAAAATTCTGTTTAATTTGACTAAACATTAAAAAATTTAGTTTTTGACTATTATTAATTAGGGTTGTGTTGAGAAATGTTAATCGCTCCGTCTAATGAATCTATAAATCTTTAGATTTGATGCAATAAAATGATGAATGAGCAAGCATTTGAAAATGTGAAAGGTTCATCAAGTATTTATTTACACTGCCATAATCATTATTATATGCCTTCACTAAAAATACACAAAACTTTCCCTTTAATGCTGACCTGCGTCTTCTAATTGTTGCTACAGAAAGAAAAATTCATGAAAACCATGTGCGGCCCCAAGAAGGACTCTTGGAAGGACACTCAGAACTGCTGCAGCAAGGATGAACTGGAGAGGGAGGAATGTTTCAGCTTCTACCTGCAGAATATCTCCATGGCTGTCTCACACAGAATGATGGAGGAGTAGGACAATAGCAGCTCAACTGCAGCTGGACACATGCCCAGGCAGATAGCGGCCCTGCACCCAGAACCACGTGGAGGAACCCATTACACCAAATTCCATTGGTTGATGTCCCTGTGTAATATATGTCATGAATCTCATTTAACCTGGGAGATGTTATGTGCCATTGTGAAAGTGGGTCCATTCCTAATTCTAATCTTTACACAGAAGCCTGTATGTAGTCTGCCACTGCTTGTAGTACAGCAAGTCACCATTGTACAGAATGGATAACAGCTGAGCTACTAACCTCTGCATTACATTGGAGTTATGCTGCTCTTAGGCGCATCTCATAATGGGTGGCATTATCGATGGCATGGCTGGTGATGAGAGGGTGGGGCTCATGCAAGTTTGTGGGGTTAGACAATTAGTAGTGGCAGCCCTGCAAAAGCTTGTGCACATACATGCTGACTTAGAGCTCACTTTAATCAAAGGTCCTACATTTTCATGTAGGCCTCAACCCACACCCTAGGCATATATCTGGTGGCCCTGCAAAAGTGCCCAGTTGGTCTACCCAGAGGCCAAATGCTTCTGTTAGTTCTTTATCCAGAGGTCTTCTGTTTTAGCAAGGGGTCCTAGGCATGGAGCTGTGTTTATGCCTTGTCACACTGTAGAGACCCTATATATCTCTGCTTAGCTACCATCCACAGAGATCCTTATTTACCTAAGGGTCCTAGGCATGTGTCTTATCAGCCTAACTGATCTATTTACTTTGCTTGTCAATACACAGTGTTAGAGGGGTCTGTTATTGAGTTTCAAATAGAAACCTTTCCAATGATACCTATAGCACTGGTATCATCCTATAATCCTTTGCAACACCATTGCCAAAGTCAGCACGTAAATATTGCCCTGCCACTAGACTTTTTTTTAGAAGCAGTTTGAGTTATGGGTGGGTGCTGTTTAGCTTATCATACAATGGCTTCACTTTTCTTTCTCCTCCAGTGTTTTTAGTTCTGTGCCCTCCCCTCCGCCAAGCCAGTGAGACTCATTCTACCTTGTTCTCTGCACTACACATAGTAGCCAGCAGAGGGTGCCACACTCCTTTGTATTGGAAGTTGCAGATGGGTGGAGCAGGGAACACAGGTGAAAAGATCTCAGTTCATAGAATGGAAGAAGCTGGTGGACAACTTAGCCTGCTGCCATCTTCCCAAAGCTGGGGGACATCCTTGCTGGGTGCACTTATCTTCTAGAGCTGTCCACATGTGTTACAATCTGCTTGTACAAGCTCCGTACAGTCTCTATATAGTGTGAGAGCCTATCTAGACAATCTGTTCAATTAATATTCAGTCAGGCTGGACCTTACATTAGATGATCACTTGTAAATCTATTGTCCAATCAGATTGTATCGTGTGTGGGCAGCATAAGAATGGAACTTTAAATGTTGTTTCCATTTATATAGAAAATACCTTTTTTTCATTATCTGGAGTGACTGTATATCCACTATCACTGGCAGCTTTAAGTTCACTTTAAAAAAAAAACCTTTTAGCTGATAATGAGATTTAAAGTAATAAAATAAACGTTATTTTTGTATGTATAAATGCAGTGGAAGAAAATAAAAAATGTAAATGAGCCTTATGTGTGTCTGTGAATTTGATTACTACTGTATACAACCCTGCATCCTGAGACCTTTCAGTTGTTTGCATCAGAAGCTGAGCCAGATTAGTGTGAGTAGGGTAGAGTCGGGGCTGGATTTCCCACAAGGCCATGTAGGCCTCGTGGCAGTAGGGAGTAGAGGGACGGCACAGCCGCAGGGCGGGTAGTTTTGTTCTACATTTAGCCCTGCTTCGGGCAAGCAGAGCTAAATGCAGAGCGGGGAAGCTGCCACTTGTTTTGTACAAGTGATCTCCGCAATAATCAATTGTAATAAGCCTGCAGGTCCGTCCGTCCCCCCGTCCCCCCCCACCTCCGGCTGCCTCTCTCCCAGCTGGCCGCCTCCCTCCATGCCATTCTGGGGGACCCGGGAGCACGGCAAGGTAGTTCACAATGGGGATCAGAGCGGAGAACGTCCATTCTCCGCTCTGCTCCGAATAAACACTGAGACGGGAGAGCTGCACTCACATCCTTCCCATCTCAGCTTTCACAGAAGAACCAGCACAGTGCTGTGCTCAAACTCCTGTATTGGAGGTGACAGGTTCAATAAAGATCCAAATGCATAACCCATACTTCTCTTTTAAGGAGATTTTGTATTTATTTATTTTTTTGGTATTTAAATAGATTTTGGACCCTGGTTTGCTTAATGACATATTCTACCCCCTGCCTATTAAGTGACCAAGTCTTAGTGCCTTCAGTACACCATATTGTCTTTCGACATGGACTTGGATGGTACAGATGGACCTGTTTGTTTCTACATCCCAGTTCACAGCATCATTGCCTGTTCCGTCTCAGCAGGGGATAGGGTCGCCACCTTTTCTTCAAGCGAAACCCGAACATTCTAGCGACACTAGAGAATGAGTCGTGGCTTATTCACATGTAAATAGTGCCACCCATTCATATGTTAATATCACAGTCAGGACTTTTTTCAGTGGGGGGCTAGTAGCCCCTATCTTAATTTTGGTTGCCCCTGTCTGCCTGACATCTTGTGTCCGGGTTTCTGCTGCCATGAAACCCGGACAAAGCATTCAAAACCCGGACTGTCCAGGTCAATCCTGGACAGGTGACAACCCTAGCAGGGGATGGAGTTGGACCAGAACATGTGACATCCATGACTGTTCCTATTTGTCCTCCGCAAGAGCGGCAGACTTGGAGTGCAGGATGTCAACAGTGGCCCTCACTTAGTATAGATCTGTGGATGGTGAGGGAGGAATCATTTAGCTTTATTTTCCCGTACAACCAAGCTACAAATGTATAAGATGGCCACAGTGGCCAGCTGTTGGGGCTCCAAACTAAGAAAGAATGTTTGACTGTTGCTACATCCAAACTGAAAAAAGGAGCTACGGGATAAGGTGTATATATAAAGAAAAAATATATTTCTATTGGATAGAGGAAGAAGTGATTATTGTCAGTCTTTTGTTCTTTGCTGGCAGGGAACGGCAGTAGCTGCAATACGAGTTATTACCACCAGAGATCATCATCAGACCTTACATCACAGGCTTCTACTTTTTGTGCCATCATTATACACGAATTGGCCCCAATTCAAGGAGCAAAGTGCAAGGTCCAAATTGCAGCAACCAATCAGAAGGTATTTTTCTGAAGCCACACTTGTACAAGGTAGCCACAGCTACCATGCTTTGTGCCTTGGTTTTAGAACTTCATTCTATACGAGCTCGTACTGTTACCCGATTTAGGACATTAGGCTGAAAATTGGACATAAGTGCCAAGACTGTAAAATCTGAGCTCCAGATCACCTTTTCCATCAAACATTTACAAAAGTTTGAACCCTCTAAGCACTCTTTAATTCTAGTCTGGGAGTGTTCAATACAGATCTTAAAGCCCAATTGAACCGTCCTAATTTATTACTGTAATGTACAATGCTGAATATACCTCATTTTTGTCTATTTGCGAAGTGTAAATGGGATGGCCGCATTATGGGAATAGGATTGCAGCTCTCACAGACGACCAGCAATCTTCCACTCTCCTCCCTTTCCTTGAACACTACTATAAGCAACTGCTTTGCTCAGAGTGATGCTGATTGGAGCAGTGTTCAAGGGGGTATTAGACAACAGTCCACCTTATCACAAAGAATGTAATGGCGAAGTGACTCCCTGCACCCTCCTCACCCCTCGCCACTGGTCCCTAAAACTCCTGTAAGTTGTATACATTTTGTTTCATTCATTTGAGATGTCTTATTTGGCACAACATTTAACTCCTGCAATAATAATAATAATGGACAGAGAGCAGTTATTTTAAACACCCGCCACTCAGGTCCACTGCTACTGTCAATCAGCTGAGGTGGACCTGAAGTTCTCCATCAAGTCCACCTCTGCTGACTGACAGCAGCAGAGAGCGGGTGCAATAGCCAGCTTGCTATTGGCTACTGCAAATTGAAATAGCCAATAGCGATCTAGCTATTAGTTCCAATGCCGTTTTTTTTTTTCCTGATGGCAGCAGCTGTCAGAACACTAAAAAAACAGCAGATAGCAAAGGAAGCATTGGCTTCTTTGCTATCTGCCATCATTTCAGGGGGGTGCTCTCTTCCTTGTTGTTGCACCCCCAGTGTTGACAGACCGCACCTCCCTGAAATCACTTATTTCAGGTTGGGATCCCTGCTAATATAACAGAAGCAAATTTACAGGGTTATTCACAAAAGGGTGAAGAGTTTAGAGAAGGCAGGAGAAGTGAACAATCTAGGAGAACATAGCTAAACTGGAAAGTGAGCTGAATTGGAGACTTTTTCCAAATCAGCTATGTTGTCCTAGAATGTTTACTTCTCCTGCCTTCTCCAAACTCTTCACCAGTGGCATAACAATCACCATAGTGACCCAGGTGGCCGCTATGGGGCCCGGGGCACAGTGGGGCCCGGCCAGATGCCGTGCGAGCCGCCTGGGATCCTCTGCTGGTGGCTTTCACTGGCGGCTGAAGACGAACACGCCACTGTTCAGATCACTGACAGTAACTGTGCAGCAGTGCGTTCCTCTCCACAGAGTCAATGAGAGCCAGCAGCGGCAGTGGAGGAGGAGGCGGGGCCTGGTGACGAAGAAGGAGGCGGGCCCAGCGACAGAGGAGGAGGCGGGGCCCATGAGCGACCGTGGAGGAAGAGGAGGCGGACAGGTAAGGAGTGCGACCAGCCCACCTGAGGGTGACCCTGCATAGCCCACCATAGAGAATATATGGTGGGCTCTGCAAGTTCACCCTCAGGTGGGATCTCGAGTGTGCTCTGCAAGGGGTATAACTAGAAGTCACGGGGCCCCATACAAAATTTTGCTATGGGGCCCTGTGATTTCTAGTTACGCCCCTGCTCTTCACCCTTTAGTGAATAGCCCTGTTAGTGTTTTTAAATATCAGTTTAATACAGATCAGCATGCTAGATTACACCCAAGCCACTTCTATTTATATACGTATATGGTGAGATGAGGGTGAGATCAATCTCCGGGGTATGGTATGTTGTTGTATATACATCTGCTTTATTTTTACCCAGGAGCTAACAAAAAAAAACGATTTCTATGAGCTGTGTTGAAACCAATGACATATAGGGGTTGATTTACTAACCTTATAAACACACCACGAACATGTATACACCTCTGTAG